TTTCAATATTATAAAAGAATTTGTTTTTGTGTCACTTTTGTAAGTATTAAAAGAAATAAATACTCCAACATTTTGCTACAGCTACAACTTGGGTCTTTTCAAAGCGAGTGTGGATTGGCGTTATTTTGATGTGCATGCTCCATCGTCGAACTCATCGTCACTTTCCATCAGGGGAGATGGAAGTCAAATGCGCACTTGTATTTTATTTAAAAAAAAAACGAAAACTTACGAAGCATTTTTGTCATCCAAGGAAAAAGAAGCTACTAAGGTGATATTATTTAATTTTTCCCTGTATTGCTACAGAAAATACATTATTCAAAATACTACGCACAAAAGAGAAGTGACGTCAGATTTCAATTCCGGAGTTGGTTGGCAATTTCTCCATCACTAATAATAAATGAGAACTATTGAAAAAGGTTTACAATTTTTTAAATTCTACTCAGAATTACCCAATAGTAAAAGACAACTCTGGTATCCTCTGAAGAGAAGGTGTATGCCACAATCCACCACGCTGTTCCAATCCGGGACTTCACATGTTTTCCAGGGATTGTAAACCTTCTTCGATATACAGGTTTCATAACCTTGTTTTCCTTCACTGTTAGAGAGAGCCATTGCTACTACAAATTATAACGTATCATTAAAAAAAGTATTACGATTCAGCTCTAGTGGTTAAATTATATAAGCTGTATACATTTTACAGCTTTAGGGCGATCTAAGCGAATAACTATTTGTCGAATGTAAACATAATTTTTGAAAATCAAGTGATAGATTAGTATGGTATAAAAATACGCATATAAAAAGTACGCTTTTGAAAATTCCTGAAAACCAGGTTGTGTATATTTTTTTAAACTCATGGATTTTTTAGTCAATTTTATAATATGAAAATTGAATTAACCAAAAAAAAAACAATTGGTTTAAAAAAAATCGTTAAAAACCTTGATTTTCAGTAATTAGCAAAAGCGTGCTTGATTCCTGGACATTTTTGATGTGTGTATTAGCAAGTGGTAAGAATGACTTGCTATATTAAGAAATCGGACCGTAATCAAAGTTCCGGACGTGACATGTATGATGACGACCTATTCGCCGTTGGCTAGTGTATAATATCTTTTCTAATACTAGTACCTTTACAATCAGCAGCATAAACCTGGATAAATCCATAAGTGTTGCTCAATCTAGAAATTCAATAACTAAAAATACCCCGCACTGCGTAACCCTGTGTCGCGGGTGCCATGGACACACACATAGACAACCACAAATTACACCCAAACTCATGAGAGAATAAATGTAGGCCATAGAAATATTTCTCGGCCCGGGAATCGAACTCAAGACCTCTGCATTCTGCCACGGAGGCAGTTAATTTAACTACCGATGTGACATGCGCATGGTAAGTCTTTAGCCGTTTAATTTTTGTTTTAACACCTCTACAGTCGCAATTAATGATTTGGATGACCCAGGCTGACCCTTTGACCATTGGTTCCGATATAACCTACACAGGAAACTTTGTCTGTTAGCAACATAAAACAGGAAAAATCCATATGTGTTGCTGAATTTAGAAAAAGAGCCGTAATTAAAGTTCTGGTTTAACATGCAGTGTGAATGACTTCTTGTCTGTTGGTTAGGGTATAATATTTTGTCTTACATAACATAAGCCACTTTTAACCCCATAACATGGCTGGGCAGCGTTTGAAGTTCGTGAACATATTTCGTATTTTAAAGGTCTGGTTTAACATGCGCTGTGGATGACCTCCTTGTCCGTTGGTTAGGGTGTAATATCTTTTCTTACATAACATAAGCCACTTTTAACCCTACAACATGCCTGGGCAGCGTTTGAATTTCGTGAACAAATTTCGTATTTTAAATACATATAAGAAATTATTTTGTTATCTATATTTTAAGACGTGACGAGTATTTCGCCCGACAATAACAAAAAAGAAAAAATCCGTAGGTGTTGCTGAATTTAGAAATTTAATCAAAGTGAAGATTGAGACATTTTACCTCAGAACATATTCATCCCCAGTTTGCCACCCTTAGAGGTGGAATATTTCCTTCAAATTTAAATAGAACCAATACTGAGGTACCCTCTTTCCAACAAAAAAAAAGCTAAAAACAAACCCTGTCGAATTGAGAACCTCCTCCTTTTTTTGAAGTTGGTTAATAATAATAACAATTGTCTGGTCTCAAAATAGGGAATTCCCGGTACTATGAGCACCAGAGCAATGGAATTCACTCTGAGGCACTTCCCAGAACACTAAAATCACAATCAATTTAGAAAAGTTAATTTCCCAAATTGGTCTTACAGGGTATCAACCCCGGGATCTCCTCATTCAGCAACCATTGTATAAACCGCTATGCCACTGAGGTCGTCATGGTCATACTACAGAATAACATTACATAATTACTATTACCAAGATTTATAAAACTGGTTTTTTTTTTGCTTAACGTTACACGCCGTTCTCGTCAAAACAAACTACTTAGGGAGACACCACATTTATTAATGCGGAATCGCATTAAGCTGGTCAGAAAAAGATGGACATAACCTTCTAACAAGAGCGAAAAACATGCGTTTTGCGTCGGCGATGCGAGCTTTTTCTGACCGACTTTATGCAATTCCGTAACGACAAGTGTGGTGAGTAACATAAGTTATTGTTACTGGAAATAAGTTTATATTTCAAAAACGAGATTTTCGTTTAGTCACGTTATCCGTTTCATCATGCGATTGTTTCAAGTTATTGATATTAAGACTATTCGAGTTACTAATTAATAATAGTAATTCAAAATAACCACACAAATTATCTCGCCGTCATATTAGGAAATTCCCTATGAGTACCAGAGCGACGGAATTAACTCCAGAATATTACCTAGAACACTTGGACCAGTACCAATGAAAAATCCGTTTCCCGAATCGGTCTTACCGGGAACCGCACCCGATATTGACTAAAACGTAAGAAATATATCTGCAGTTATTTCTATAACGTTCTAACTGTTACATGGCATTTTGCTTTGGGGTAATGCCGCCGATATCTATAGAATCTTTGCCCTAAAGAAACGTGCGGTTAGGGCAATTTACAATCTGGGCCCCAAAGTATCTTTGAGAGATAAGTTTAAGGAAATTAACATTCTTACACTAGCGTCACAGTACATTTATGAAAATGTAATTTATGTTAAGAGGAATAGATTTATTTATGAAAAATAGTGACAGACATAACATTAATACGAGGAATAAAAATAAACTAGCTGTTCTTGGTAGTCGTCTTCACAAAGTGACAAATTCATTTAAGAGGCAATGTATACGCTTCTATAACAAGATTCCGGCTTATATACAACATTTGCCTTTACGAGGTTTAAAACTATAGTGCAACAAAAACTTTATACTATAGGTTATTATACAACTTCTGCGTACTTGGATTTCAAAAATCCGTGGTGGTAACCCGTTTAGCTCATGGAGGTAGTCTCGATCTCTGATGTTTGAAAACAAAAATAATATTGTAAATGTTGAATGTGTACAAATGTTATTTACAAAGAGTAACCTCTACTTTCTTGCTCATTCTTCTCTGGGGAATCTGCCTTACGAATGAGCGGTAGAGTTTAACCATTGTGACGATTTCAAGTGTAATAAGGCTTACCTATGACATAAGATTATTTTGAATTTTGAATTTTGACTTGCTTGTACAGATTACAATGCTTACTATGAAATAAAGATTATTTTGAATTTGATTTTGAAACGTCTATTTATTTATTATTTATAATGTAGATACATGACGGTATCGTACTTAAATTTTTACGCGAACAAATTATTCACATAATGAATACATTCATTCATGATGAATGGGCCATATGTAGCTAGTTTTCTTTATCATAAATACATACTAAATATGTCCATGAAGACATATTTGGAGGAAGTGTAACAAAGGTTGAATTATAATAACAACGTTCATAGAAACCGCTGATTACATGTACCAGAAAGTTAATTTGAAATAAAGATACCTTTTTTATTTAAAAAAAATCAACTTCAAAAGTTTGCTTATTGACTTTTTTATTGAAATTACATATATTTGCCAAGTTTTATTTGAACCGGTTAACGGAAAGTGCCAGAAACCGGATTCATCCCCTAGTTTGCCACTCTTAGAGGTGGAATATTTTATGAGACCAAGTGACGGGACGAACAAGTCGCCCACCTGGTGGTAAGTGACACACCTGTTCATAACAGTTGCAGTACCACTCAGTGCTTTAAATCACAAGGATCTGAGTGGCACTGCCACTGCGCCCGTTACTCTGGGACATAAGTTGACAAGTCCCATGTGACTGTAATTTCACCAGCACCCTTACTTACCCTTCAAAACGGGAACGCAGTAATGCTCACGTTACTTCTAGGCGGCAGAGATAGGTAAGGTGGTGGTGGTACTTCCCTGGACGAACTCTCACAAGTAGCTCTACTGCTGCTAAAAGTCTGTGTGTATGTCTTTATACATATAAAATCATGGCTTACATGATTTTATATATGTATATGTGTATGTCTCTCATATGTACATTATCATAATTTATTTTAATTCACATTTAAATTTTAATTAATTTATTGTCCTATAATTAGATCCGCAGACTTTAGTGCTACACCACGGCTAGGGTTGGCTAAAAGAGATCTTTTCTAGAGACAAGTTGATCTTTGTATATGTCCTTTGTGACATGTGTTTTAAGTCGCTTTTCTCTGTGCAATAAAGAATTTAAATAAGTAAAGGAACGATGAAAAGGTTGAATAAGGAATCGAAAAACTTTTCAGTGAATAGTTATTAAAATTATACATATTTATTACTATATTCGTCCCGTCACTTAATATTATAATAAAAAAAAGTGAACTTTATGTACATAAACACATATATAAGCAGAATATATATTATAATCTAAACAAATTTCTACATTTCTACATCTACAAGCTCATTTGGTGGAAACTGAAGATGGTGTAGTATTTATAACCATGTCTTAAAATAGTTCTCCTTTGTCCCCAGAGCGAGAAATGGCTAACGCACGAACTGATGCGGGAAGAACTACTGGAGAAGATCAGACGGCTAGAGGAAGAAAGACAGACGGCTGATCTCTGCTCCACGGGTGCTGAATGGGGCAAGCGCAAGCGCAGACGACAGGTATTTAATGCTTAGTGTTATGTACCGACAGCGGCACATCAAGATACACATTGAGGGATCTTGTTCCGTTGTACTGGAGGCTATATTCGAACAAAAGTGCATAGCTTGATGTGCTGTTCAATTCAATTGCATTTACCATAATGCCTAACTTTTTAACTTTCGAAGCAATTTTTCAGGGTATAATTCACATAAATTTTGTCGGTTTGTTTACTCTCAAGAAACACTCTCCAAAATTGAGGAATTTGTTTTTCCAAGTAAACTAGGTCCTTATGCATGCATTAGGGGTTTGTTCAGCCTAAAAACCTATTTGCCTCTCTTTAACAGGTAACAGTGTCTCCCCCCTACGTGGTATACATGCTCCCTGATGCTGACATCATGGAAGACTGGAGGCTCGTCAGAAAACTGTTGGAGAAAGCAGAATAAGTGATAGAAAGCGATTTTTGGACTATTGAACGCACCTCATAAAAGAAATTGTTTTCAACAGAAATTTTGTTTCAGACATAAGTGTATATTTAATTGTTTAGGTAAAGCTTAAGGTTATTTTAACTAACAATACAAAATTTAGCTAAAACTAACTCTCCTTTATTTTATTTAAACTCTTGCTGAACTGTTTTCCTTTAACTAACATTGTTGTTAACTAGTATGTGGACGAGAAGTAATTATGTTTACGACAGTTTAAAACCCTTATAAGTATCGATTTTGAATTGTTTTGATTACAGCTGAGAACAATGCAAATTCAAAAGAAACTTAAGGACCATTAAAAATTTGAAAATAATTAATCAATGTGGAATTTTATTCTGTACTGTACGGTGCACGTAGAACGTGAATTTCACCCGAGTAATTGTGATTTTGAAGACATATTCAATTGTCATTTCTTACTTTATACAATTTATACTTTAATCGGTCGTGAAGCCGTCGCGTAGTTCCTGTTTTGTTCTACAGAAAATTACGTCATCGGATAAAATAAGACAATTTTTGTTTTTAGTTTTTTCTACAGGATAATATACATTTCATCCGATCCCACTTCTTGTTAACGTTATGGAACAAAACGAGAGATTCTAGTTGACCAAAGTTATATTTGATACACAAATCTTACAGTTTGTTTATGATATCAAGTGATGGGATGAACAAGGCGTGCTCAGAAATTTAATTGCAAAGATCTGAGGGGCTCTGCCTCTGTCACATGTGCCTACAGTTTCACCAGCACCCTTGGCACGTTTGAGCACTGAATCCGGTTCGTATCCGTTTTAAATCCGAGACTATACACATCTAGAAAATTCGAACATACTTCGGATGTCGCTTGTGCAAGTTGTGCACTAAGTCCGATTCGGATCCTAGAAAATACAAATATCGCTCGTACACCTAGAGATAAAATTATCCCCGTGACATTTCGGACCGTCATTCTCGGATTCGGAACAGGGGGTCTACTCTCGATCTCCGTCCGACATTGGTCCGAAACAATTACTGTCAAATAAGTAATATTCGACAAAATTAAAAAAGAAGTATCAAGTAAGAAGCTTCATTCGCATCACGCGTCTTTTCATTTGGTCAAGTATTGCTTATTTGGCAGTAATTGTTTCTGACGGATGTCAGACGGAGGTCGAGAGTAGACCCCCTGATACGAATCGGATTTGGTGCGCTAACGCTCCAACCCTTTAAATCCGTTACGAAGCAGGCAAGTATACAATAATACAATATGATACAAATAATTTATTGTTCTTTTCCACCTTAACAATAGATTTTACGAGGTAAGAAACATCGTACAGTTAAATTGTAAGGCGGAAGACTAGTGCCTAAACTAGTTCGGACTGTTCTACAGGTCACCAGGTATCTATCACCGGTTTTTTTATAAATCCATGTGACGTGACGAACAAATTGTGCACCTGGTAGTAAGCGACACGCCTATCCATAACAGTTGCAGTGCCACTCAGAGGTTTAAATCACAAAGATCTTAGGGGCACTGCAACTGCGCCCGTCACCCTGAGACATAAGTTAACAAGTCCCATGTGCCTGTAATTTCTCCAGCACCCTTACTTACCTTTCAAAACCGGAACGCAGTAATGCTCATATTACCGCTTGCCGATAGAAATAGGTAAAGTAGCAGGTACTATCCTGGACGAACTCTTTCACAAGGAGCTCTACTGCTACTACAATTTCACTGTCACATCGGTGTTGAATAAAAAAGTCATTTTATAGTTTGTTCTACCATTTGAGAAAAAGTATGCTCTCATTTTGCCCGATGAGGTCATGTTCTATAGAACAGACGGGAACTACCCAAGCCATCTTCACACCGCAATGTGCTACAAGTGCCAGCAGCTGAAGCTGATTGGACTGAAGCATTTGATTCGCATATATGTTTATACAGACAACCTATTAGCGAATTGAATACTTACCTACTGGTTGTCACATTTTTGTTATACGACATATTCAGAGGCCATCTGTCAATTTATTTTATTTTTTTGATTATTAACGTGTATATCTCTTTGACCAGTCTAGATCACGTAGTGTCGAAATTGATAGTCTTTGGCTCAGTTTTTGGCACTGGTTCGTTAGTTCGTAGCCAGTTTTAAAACTTCTTTTTGAGTGACAGAGGTAGCAGTTAGAAACAAGTTCTTCCGATTACATGTTCTAGTTAAGGACCGTGCTCTGTTGCTGAAGAAGTTACGAGCAACAGGTGTTATGGTTGGAGCGCGAATTGATTGCAGCTAGCACGTTAAGGTTTTCTTTTTTTTTTAGGATACTTGTATGTCTCTTGTATGTCTGGTAAATAATGCTGATACATGTGGAAGATCTAGCATATTATAATTTAGACGATGGGTGAACGTATCTTAACGCGGGAGTGAGAGGGAAAGAGTGTGTAAGAGAGAGGGATGATTCGAAATTATAGAAGAGGACACGAACGCGCGAGGTTTTTGTTTTTATGGACGACGTACAATGGAATACGTTGAAACAGGAAGAATAAATAATTTTTCATCTACGTATACCTTTTGTTTGACTATCATTTGGGATAGTCAAACAAAAGGTACATGAGGATAGATATCCGGTTCGAAGGACCATGTTTAAACTGCAGTAGACTGATGATATTCATTTTTCGTTATTTTTTTTATTGTAAACCCGCTATTTTGTTCAGTTTACATTTTTGTGTCTATTTTTGTAATCATATTGTGAAATAACTTTCTTCTGTTAGCTAAAAAGTTCGTATTAGTTCGAACATAGATCACCACAAACCTTCTTACAAAATAGTGAGGCTTGTTTCGTGTTATCTCTCAGCATAGGTTTTATAAAGAAGAGCATGTGGTATCTTGATTGTGTGTGTGGAAACAATAATATCAACTTGTATATACTAGTGAAATACTTAACTATCAATATTATAAATTACGTCCATTCGTACTTATAGGGTATATGTGATATTTCTGTTCTCAGATCATTGCTCTTTTTCAGTGTATTAAAAGAACAAGACATATTGTATACCTAACTAGATCATACGTCCTGCTTTGTGCGAGATAGACCCGCTTTTAAGCTTCACGTCCCGCTGTCCCCAAAATACTTAAAAAGTCCCACATTCCCATAGCAGGACACACATCACAATAAATTTAAAAATCATTCCAAGGGTTCCAATCCTATTTAAGAACTAAACCTGCTTGACAAATTAAAGCAAATTTGCTGATCGAAAAAGTATATAAAGCCTACCAGACTACACAAGATTCTTTTTTTTTTTTTTTTTTTTCTATCATTGAACATTTTTAGTTCTTTCTTTAAATTGTTTTAATCATTAAACACTTCGTAACTATCACAAAAAAATGTGTTTTATTTTTAATACAATAATAATTTTACAGGCGTCCCTCTCAGAGGGAAATAATGGCCGCGTTATGTATACCCAGTCGAACTCTCTAGGTTACTAATCGCGCCCGCAATGTTGTAACAACCTTTCACTCGGATATGGTACGCCGAACAGAATTCCATTGTCCATGGCTACTTTCACGTTAAAGAACCCTCTAAAAATTGATATGAATTATAAATTCAGCTTTATTCGTTTTCATGTAGACACGTTTTATTAATGTCAATTTGAACTCTGACATAAATTATGTAAAGATTAATTTTCAACGTCCGTTAATCAGTTTTCAATAGTGAACGTTCTCGGTTAATCGTTGGTTAATCTCGGTAAATCTTTTTTATACGACAATGATGGGAACAATATGACACGAGGTCAACTCAAGATGAGAAGTGCTAGATCTAAAATACATTGCCGTGACATGTTTGCCTAATTCTAGTTACGTCAGTTAATCAAGCGACGGGCGATATTGACAATTCTGTCAACAGCACATTGTTGTACATGTTGATATTACATAAAAGGATGTCTTCTTAATAAGTATACATACTAGGATATTAAGTGTTTGTGAAACTAAAGAACTACAGTAAATATAGTAACGATGCGCGATTGCTAAAGGTTTCTATATTCCACGCGTTAGTAATTACACAAGGTAACAAGTGTGTTTCTATTAACCATTTTAAAAATATATTCAAAAATTTAAAAATAAATACATAAAATGCAATGCCTCCAATACATGTTGGCCCAGCGTTGACGAGTGTAGGCCAACACCAACGTATAGACAACCTATATGCCTTGCCTTGCCTACGCTCGGTGTCGCTCGCCTACCTGGCCGAGTGTGAGGCGACCGCCAACGTGTACAGGGCTCATTTGGCGTGACTTGTCACAACTCGCAGTCGCTCGCGACCATTCGTTTAACTTCGGTGTCGGTTTTTCTGCACAAATCAAACGCGCTCGCCTACTCTCGTCCAACATTGTTCACACGTTTGTCTGCTCGTCATTACTCGTTTGGCGTCCTTACAAATAAAGATGTTTTCAAGTTTTGGAGTTTTACCAGAATGTTGTTTACCTATTATTTGGAACCTCAAAGACATTCACCACAAAGATAAAAAAAAAACGATGAACATACATCCTAATTTTTTTAAGTCAGTTAAAAAGTAAGTACTCGTACCTAACTCAACTTCAGATAAGTATATTATGACTCATTAAATAAATGGCAGCAGCTGCAATAACTTCTACGTCGTCCATATCGTTTCAATGCACAGTGAAAACTGACAGCGGCCAATGTGTGGGCAGCTCTCCAAAGCTCATCTACATTGGCCGTTTGAATGACACTTGTCGAACGTGTAGATGGTTGCACTAGCCGTGTAAGGGTGTCAATTTGCCTACGCTCGGCGAACATGTATTGCAGGCTTTACGCATCACGGTAGGACACGTAATATGGTAGTGTAACTCCCGCCTGTACGGCGCGTTCACGGACATAGATCAAAAGTTTTAAAAAGAATATAATTATCTTATTTTGGTATTAATTTACAATATTACTATTTCGTGGCTCCTTATATGTAATAAGTACTAAGTACACTAAACAGCGCTTGTGACGTCATTGGAAGTACAAAAAATGTGGCACACTTGGTTTTCATGTAGATCGCGGTACTTGCCACGTCTATTTAGACATATGTCTGTGGGCGCGTCAACACCTGCACGGATCTCGCAACGTAGGATTGTCATATAATTATTTTATTTGCACCAACAAAAAAAACGTATTCATCACAAGCTCTGAGTGCCACTGCAACTGCTATGTTACCACCGGATGCACGACTTCATCGTTCCCGTCACTTGTTGTCATATAAAAACAATATTTTCTTGCTTTATTAAAATAAAATCTTCCTAATGCAGTACTTACACATTGATATTTGTATACCAGCATTACGCATTAGTTTGTCGATTATGGAAGTGATCGTCAAATGCGAGTTTTTATTTTCATAACGATACATTTATAC